ATGCATCAACTGCTCTAGGCATGGTTGTCTTTTGATGAATTAATGCCTTAGTACTAGAATGTCTATTGCTGATTTTGTTTTGGCATTGCATTCAACTTTCAATTATGGAATTAAGACATCATACTTTGTGTCGGAAGTTATGTAAAGCACAAATAGAATTAGCACTCTATAGCTTTCCATCTATATAAACTACACATCTCCGTATCTTATCTCTTATTTTTCTTACAATTTAGTGGGCATATAATCACATAGTGTTCTTAATACAATCACTAATAATATCTCACTTTGTTTAGTTTTAGTTTTTTGAAAACACTTTTCAGAGAATTTTATTTTTTTATTTTTCGTATTTTTTTTAATTTTTACTGAATTTTTTTAATATTTAGACACACCTAACATAAATACACTTAAAAAGTATAATTTTTGTGAAAAAAATCTTTAAAAAATTCACTAAATACCAAAAATACAAAAAAAAAGGAAGAAAATTTAGAATATTTTTTGTATTTTTGCATATTTATTAATTTTTTAAAATATTTTTTCACAAATATTTTACTTTTTAGATACATTTAAAAAAATGCTTAAAATTTAAAAAATATTTATTAAAAATAAAAAACTCAATTTTCAAAAAACTTAATTCAGAAAACTAAAATCAAACACACTGATTAATTTTTCTCTGAAAAATATGTCATTAGCATGATATTTTATTGTTGGTATCATTATAAATTATTATATCAATCTCTTTATCTTTTTACATATTTTTTTTATAAATAATTAAAATAGTCAATTTTGGCACGGAGCCTCAGTTTCCACTTAAATGCTTTCGCTTTTTGCTTTCACCTTTCAATGGCATATTGGAGGAAAAATATGCATTATCATGATTTGTATGCAAAAGTCAAATAGAAATTATTGGAAATTTTTTCACCACACAATGATTATAATTTGATATTTTATTATTATTATTTTTTTTTTTTTTGTTTTCTCATGATTTGGTATTTATTAGAAAACAAAAGCACCACGAAACGAATCCACATTGTTTTCATAAAAGTGGACCATATGCCCAAAAATTCATTTGTTTGGCAGCAATGTAATGCAAGAGTCAGAGTCAGTGGCCAAGCAGACTCAGCCATGAATGTCTTAATTAATTGGGTACATAGATGGAAAGCTATTTTATTCTTGATTATTGATTAGATAAATGGTAGGGAAGAGTTGAGAGGGAATTGCATATAAACTACACATCATTAGTTGTCCCAGGGTTAAAGCAGAAATAATCTTCTTCACAGAAAAGCTTCCATTCCAAATTATGGTATAACTTGACATAATCCAACATTTGTTTAATAATGTGTCTAACTCGAAGACAATTTGGTAAAAAAACCACTTCCATCGACCAGATGGAGTTTGTCAAATGTAAGGCTACTAGAGTTCTATTAAGAGCACAAAGCAATTGTCAATTGGTTTTACACCAAATTCCAATACATGCCACAGTCAATAACTACCCAATAGTAGCATGTGCTTCCTTCCAGGGCCTAATCAACAAAACCTCTCAGCACCACGAAATCAATTATTAGCTGGCACAAACAGGAGAGAGAGAGAGAGAGAGAGAGAGAGAGAGAGAGAGAGAGAGAGAGAGAGAGATATCTCAATAAATGGTAAATCAAGTGCATACCTCAGAAGCCATGTAACCAAGGGTTCTAGTTTCACCAGTCATGATTTATTTTCATTTTATATTGTTAGGTATGAGTTTTCCAGAATTCTCTCTAACGCGTTGTTAATAGGTTATTTCTGCTCTCCTCCCTTTTTGATCTTATTGATGATTGAGATTTTATCCTTTTGATTGCCTAATGACTTGGTGATTAGGGTTTATTGATTTTGATTGTATTGTGGTTTCAAAACTTATTTGTGCGTTAATTTGTGGTTGAGAAAACAATATTGTTCATTATTGATTTCTAATAGCGATTAGGTTCTACAGTTTTTTTCCACATATATGGGATGTTGTTTTTTTTTTTATTTGGGTAACAAGAAGAATTATGTTACAATTGGAGAATTATTGATTGTATTGATACTGATGTTATTTAGACTCTTCCTATTGTTATTTTTATGCCCTAAAATGCTTAACAAAGCCAAGATAGTTAGGTTTGTGTGAATGCATTTAACAGAGGGACAACATTGAAACTTCTTAATATATTGAACGTTGAAAATTCTTAATATATTGAAAGTCAAGTTACTTATGTGTTTATGGGATATTTATGTGTTTGTTTGATTTGGAAAACAAGAAGAATTATATTAAAATTGGGAAATTATTGGTGAAATTGATATTGATGATATTTACACTTACTAACAGAGTATGTATACCCACCTTCCATTGTTGTTTGGGATGTCCCAAAATAGTTAACCATCTTGAAAAACCAAGAAACTAATACTGTTACCATCATTTTGTTAAGTTTGAATGCATTTAATAGATGGACAACTTTGAAAATTCTTATGGGTGGAAAATTGAATTTAGGAAGGTGAGTAATCATTTAATTTGTTGATCTGACATCACAGCAATTTATAATTTGCAAGATATCTGAGAAATTATTGAGAGGAGTTAGAATTCCATAGAGCAACTGATGGATTCGCAAAAATTCTAATTTATATCGCTTGGGAGAACAAGAAAGTAGGTACTTGCAATTTGTACATGTTTGAAATGATTTGGCAATTCTAGACATAAGAGAGAATTTTTTATGATGGAGATTAATTTAGTTGATTAAATCTCTTACCGTTGATTGGAAAATTAGTACATTATTGAATTAAAATTGGCGTATTCTAAGCTAACATAAAAAATTCATGTATTTGTGTGCAATGAAAAACAAATAGTTGATGAATAACATAGAATGGATGTACATTCAAATCTAATGCATTGCATTTAAAAAATTATCCCATGTTCCTGTCACAGAAATCGAATTTTGATGGATAAAGAAAATTCATGTATTATGTAAAGCGTGAATTTGTGGTTGAAAAAACAATATTGTTCATTATTGATTTCTAATAGCGGTTAAATTCTACAATTTTTTTTCACATATATGAGATATTGTTTTTTTTTATTTTTTTATTTATGATTTTTTTATTTGAGTAACAAGAACAATTATGTTAAAATTGGGGAATTATTGATTGTATTGATATTGATGTTATTTAGACTCTTCCCATTGTTATTTTAATGTCCTAAAATGCTTAACAAAGCCAAGATAGTTAGGTTTGTGTGAATGCATTTAACAGAGGGACAACGTTGAAACTTCTTAATATATTGAACTTTGAAACTTCATAATATATTCAAAGTCAAGTTGCTTATGTATTTATGGAATATTTATGTGTTTATTTGATTTGGAAAACAAGAAGAATTAAGTGAATTGAATAGTATAACATATTGTTCCGTGCACCAGTTCATTTTTACACTGTCATAGCCCCATGAATAGAGCTTCAAGCCTATGACCCTTGCTTTGAAAGGCTGGATCTCTGCCAACTGTTATTATACCCAGTGTGTTACTGTTACCCTTCAATTACTATGCATTTGTCTACACCATTAACATTTATTGTATACAGTTTTTATTTATTTATTTTTATTATTATTATTATTATTATTATTTTTTATGGTTAATCGATGGAATGCTTTCAATATATTTCAAGGAGGAATTTAAGGATGAGGAGATGGTTGATGTGAAGTCATTACACATCTGAAACTTTCTCTGAAGTTGAGTTTGTTGATTATAACTGTTAGGATACTCATAACTAGCAATTGTTTGAAGAAAGATTATAACTGTTCAGGTATTTGTTAAAATAAAGGGAAATATTGGATTAATGTTTTGGTCATTTGTATTTGTCTGGTCTAACTTATCTTTAGCTCCTTGAATATTGTTTGGTTGGCGATCTCCAATCGCAGTGAGATTTGAAATTGTAGTTGAAGTGCTGCATCTTTTGTTTTCAATGGCCAACTTTTGTTTTAAGCTTCTGCTATATTACATAAGGATTTTGAAGCTCTCTTCTTTAATTGAAATTCATTGATTACCTAGGGATCTGTCTTAAAAAGAGATGTAATTCTAGATTTAATAGTAAACCACTTGATTATCTTTTTGTCTATTGTTATTGGTCGATTTCCAGACAAAAGAAATTTAAAAACTATGCCAATATACTGTAAGAATGTGATGGATCGCAGCCCTCTAAATCTCCATTTTCAAATTTTCACAAAATCTTAAAAAAGGGTAAATTATAAACATGCCCTTGATGTTTGTAAAATATTCTCACTCTCTCTATGGGAGCTTGCATTTTAAGATTAGTATCCAAAGTTTGGTAATGAGGTGCGGTGTTGCCTTTGAGTCAAACTTGGTTCTAGATCATGACACAATGCAATTATACAATTAGATTTGTTATTTTTATAACTGCATTTTAATCTTAATATTATTTTCACCGTTCTTTAGGCACGGACATACGCTAGTATATTTATATGGAGAAAGGGTCATTACTATGTAATGAGCACATTTGTGATTGTTGTACGTCTCATTGGGGTCTGTTTTGGGTCATATTTTGATGATCTGAACCATTTATTTTTTAAAAATATCGAATAGAACATATTTGTAAAAAATCAAATTAGTCATTTATATTAGTTTTCATTTGATTAAAATAATATCTATATTTGACCAAACTTACTAGTTTTGTGATCCAAGTTATTATTTAATTTTTTCCACTAGCAATTATATAGAGCTAAATTTTATTGTCAAATGCTAAAGAATTTGTAAATTTAAAATTATAAATCTAAAAATTACTTTTATAAGTTTAAAAATTTTAATACAAAAAATAATAGGTAAAGTGAATAGTAAAGAGATTGATTCTGTACAACTACAAAATTTGAAAGGCAGCAATTCAAGATAAATTGTTATAGGCGAAATCTGATTAATTCTTTATCACCTTCGTGTGTCAAATTAATTAATTGTAACAATATTTGAATGAAGCACAACATACGCCTCTTTTATGTTGTTTTACTTGAATTTTGGAAAGACAAGATCCTGTTGATATGTGAACCCTAGAATGTCCACGTGCTAACTCAATATCTCACTGCGAAGAACAGAGAGAGAAACGCACGAGGAGAGACACTGGGTCGTCGCCGTTGCAGTTGCCGAAGTCGACGTTGAGGAACCACATCTCCCTAATCTTCTTCTTCTTCTTCGCTTTCGTCGCAGCAAATGGTAAGCGGCTTTCGGGGCCTCCGTGCGTGTTGCTTCCGCTTCTCTCACACGGCGGCGATTCCTCTCCCCATACACTCCTCCGCGCTCTCTTTCCGCCGCCGACTGTTCGTCACCAACTGCTCAGCCTCCGTCGCCGGAAAAAAGGAGAAGGTAATCGTGATTTCCGGCCCCACCGGTGCCGGCAAAAGCAGGCTCGCTTTGGAGCTCGCGAAACGCCTCAACGGAGAGATCATCAGTGCTGACTCTGTCCAGGTTTTAGAGATTTTCGCGCCGATAGCTCTTGTTTGGTTACGTAAAAATTTGAGGAAAAAGTAAACACTGAGCTAATTACAATACAACTGCTAGCTAAGTTGATTGAATTTGGTTTGTGTTACAGGTATATCGAGGACTTGATGTTGGATCTGCAAAGCCTTCATTGAGTGAAAGAAAGGTATTCATAGATTACTGCATTTTAAGATTCTACTTGTTTAAAGCATGTTTATAGCTCACAGGTCTTGTATCATGTATTATGGCCAAGTTTGGCAACCTAAAAATCACCTTTCTATTTTTCTGCATATCTTTTCGTAAAAATAAAAAGTGCACTTATTTAGGGCATCCATCTTTTCTCTATCATGTGTCATGTATCATGGTCATTTGGTTGTTATTGCTTAATTTTATAAAATAAGGTATGTGAAAGTTTGAAAGCGTCTATCTAATTTTTTGTAAGTGATTATTTCTTTCTCATACCTTGTATATGTGTGCTTATGCTTTGAATTTAACCCTTTTTTTTAGCGTGATTGTCTGTCCATCGGTCACTATCGTGGCAACACCCCAATCAATGGGTTTACAAGTTTCTGTCCAACTAGAAGATCTATCAGAAAAAGGTAGCTTAGTGTACAAGGATTAGGAAACACCATGATACACTAGTGCATAAAACAAATCATAGTTCTACTGGGCGATCTGTGCAAAGTCCAATTACAATTTCTTTTGGATATCCCAAGCAAAAACATATGATTCTCATCCCATAATTAGGATGTAGGTAAAGAACTACCACGTGGTGAGGATGGTTAGCTGCACATATGGTTGGAGATTTGTGTCATGGAAAGCAAGAAACACACTTGCCTAAAATTGAATTTAGTGGAGTTGGTAACTGAGAAATTGTTGTGAATAATGAGAGAGGTTGGTGAAACCACGAAAGACATGAAAGATTTGTAGTTGGGTGCCCCTTATGTTCTTTGTTTGTAAACCATTTAATTCCTTCCATCGTTCAGAAATCAAAATCTTCATGAACTGATTAAACTTTTGATCTTGGCCATGGCAGTGATAAGACTCCATAGAGTTCGTTTGTTCATTACCCTTTCTCAAAAATGGTTTCTATAATGGGCTCATAATTAAAAAGTCTTTGTTGAATAAGAGCAAGGAGTCAATTTTTGAGTTCTTTGCTCAATAGCTTTTGGTTGTAATTCTTTCTTGTGTGTCTAGTCATATGAAGAGAAGAAAACAAAATACATTGTCTAGTAACAGAGCAGTTGAGCACTGTGACTGGTTGTAAGGATTAGTTATCTGCTAAACATTCTTTCCTAGTCTTCTTTTATAAATATGGGGATCATATGCTCAAGTAAATTGAAGCTTTCAATCGTCTTCTTTTATAAATATGGGGATCATATGCTCAAGTAAATTGAAGCTTTCAATCTTCTAGGTGTGTTCCTTGCATCAAAACAAATAGATAATCAGCTGAAAACTCTGCTCTCTTGTGATTAATTCTCTCTCTCTCTCTCTCTCACCCACGAGCGCGCGCCAAGTATGTTTATAGCTTTTTCCAAACTGAAAATGTATATTTCTTCTACCGTAAGAAGCACGGACACGGACATATAACACGATACATACACGGCTATACCAAAAAAAGTAAAAAAAAGTAAAGCACAACATGTGGGAGATACGTGCAAATATTTACTTCTATATAATTATTATATATTATATGTCATGTATTGAATATTGAATTCAAAGATAATAACAAAATGAAATGTAACACTAATTTTTAAAGTAAAGGAGTAGAATATATATAAATTTACAATATTTTTTTTTAATTTTATTTTTATTCAAACTTCTAATGTGTTTCATATGTTTCTAGACGATAAATACTTGTTTTTCAAGTGTTTGAAGTGTGTTAGAGTCTAGAAAATTTTTAAACAATATTGGACCTAATAGGATGTGTGTTCATATGATACGGTGTCCGGCATGACATGCAACCTTCTTAGGAGTGTCCATGCTTCTTAGCTGCTGCCTATGTTGGCTTGTTTGGTCTACATTCAAAGGTTGGAACTTGTCTATAAATTTTGTTTAGTTGGTGCAACTCTTATGTTCATAATTTTCATATCTTTTTTTGTAGGAAGTGCCACACCATTTGGTTGACATATTGCACCCATCTGAAGGTATGTTACTTGCAGGACCAGATTATAGGAATCTGAATCGTATTTAATTATGAAAATGTTGCTTGTGTAGTATACCTTTTGTCAATCAAGGGTACACCTCTTATTGGTTTGGATTGTATGAACTGGTGAAGGGGCATACGTGATGGATGGAAATATGAAGAAACTTTTGAATAAACACACTCTCAAGGAATATGATTGGCACCCACAGGGGCTACCTTGTTACTGCCCTATTGATGAAGTGCTCAAGTATTGCAATATTTTGATGTCAATTTCCTTTGGTGTCCTAATATGAATCTTTTGTTACTCTGCTTTTTAGATTTTTCATTCTCTTAATATAAAAGTTAACATGATGTTCACAATTAGGATACTCTGTTGGGAAATTTTTTGAGGATGCAAGGCAAGCTACAAGAGATATTCTTAACAATGGCCGTGTTCCAATAGTTACAGGTGGGACTGGATTATACTTGCGATGGTACGTCTCTACATTCAATTTTGTGTGATTCTTATTTTATTTCTACTTATAAATATAGAAAGGCAAAAAAAAAAAAAAAAATTGTAGATTCATTACTGTCTTTTGACCTTCAAATTTTAGTGAGGACTGATGCTTTTGAAGATCTTTTTAATATATGAATAGAGAGAAGGTGAAATAGTTGTCTACTAAAGTTTTTATCACACTTGGTTTCACCCTTTAATTGTATTGAATATTATCATGTACAGCAGAGTTCTTTTCGTCAAAGTGGTGGTTATCTTTTTTATTTTTATTGTATTTGATTGGTATCAAACTGCTGGTTCTTGCATACTTGCAGGAAATGTAACATCAAAAACATTACATGATGAGGACAGGGAAAAAAAAAAAAAAACTAAGGACAATGTCCTAACAGTCTTGTGTAATTTTTACATGACAGAGACATGAAAAGCCCCAGAAAAGAGAAGTGACCTTGTTGTCTTGACACGTGTTATTGGCACATTTGTGGACTTAAACCTGATTTACCTTCTGTTCTGCGAGTAGACATTTTTATGGCATTTTACTAAGACATGCTGCTGCCCTTGGTGATCTGAGAGTCCAGGGTGTGTTTCTATCAAACATAAGTTATATACTTCTTTTTGGCATCATTGCAAGAGGAGCAGGTGTACCTCTTACTTCCTTCTATGTAGAGGTTGTCATTCTTTTCTTGGTTGATAGTAATAGATTTACATTTCTCTCAAATTTCGGACCATGTTGTGGGCTACTTGCCTGTTCACATGAAGAACAATTGACTAGAAATCTTATAGACACGGGAAGTTTACCAACTAGAAAGAATTAAATGAGGCAGTATCTATCTGAATGCGCTACAACAATTGCAATTACTGTTAATAAACACCTTTGTAACTGCATGAAACAAGTTAATTTGGGATTGCCTACATATAGATTGTTATAAATATTTGATGAAGACCCACCTTTATATGTTGGATAACTTTTAACATGCATTTTGCGTACCTGTGAATGTATTGTCATGTCTATGTTTCAATGAAAACCAACTTATATGGCGCATAAAGACTCGAGTTTCTTTTTGATATTTCAGGTATATATATGGAAAGCCAGATGTTCCAAAAGCTTCTCAAGAGATTACCTCTGAAGTGTACTCAAAGCTTGCACATTTTCAAAAAGATGTTGACTGGGATGCAGCTGTCCAGTTGGTGGTCAAAGCAGGTGATCCGTGGGCCCAATCTTTGCCTACTAATGATTGGTATCGTCTGCGTCGCAGTCTTGAAATCATTAAGGCAAGTTTATGATCTTCTGAATTCCCTGACTTTTTCTTCATTATCATCGATTCAAATGTTTTCATGAAATCATTTAGGTAAATATATGATCTTTTTCTTTTTCTTCATTATCACGGATTCATATTTTAACAATTAATTGATAAATTTTCCTGATTTTCTTTTTGAGTTGGAGTATATTAGGCTGTTGTTAATGTAGCTGTAAATGGTGTGGAAGTTAAATTAGAGTTTGAAAGAGTTGCTTTCTCTGAATTGTAAGGTTACTGGAAAACACTTTAAGTAGATGTATACATGCTTTGAATATATATATTTTTTTGGACTTTGCAGGCTAGTGGATCACCTCCATCTGCTTTTCAAGTTCCATACGACCTATTCAGGGAACAGTTTGATTCAAGTGTAACAGACTGCTCTCTTGACAACTATTCTTCTGGTGATGCACATGAGGAGAGTGAATCAATGAATTTGGACTACGAGTTCGTTTGCTTTTTCCTCTCAAGTCAAAGACTGGAACTGTATAGATTGATTGATTTCCGTTGTGAAGATATGCTGTCAGGTAAAATGTCATGAATGTCAACTTTTTCCCTTCTGTTCTTTGAGGCCTCAAAATCTATGATATACACTCAATTTTGTCTTGGATAAGCCAGTCAATGTTGTCTAAGTGTAACAGCCCCGACTGGCGCTAGTGTGTTGAGTGGGAGCAATGAACACAATGACACCCTTGGCTAGCCCTTTAAGACTCAGCAGATCGGAGTCATTACATGAAACACTATATTTCAAACATGGATTGTATGTTTCTGTATCTAGTGAATCATGCTTGTATTTTGTCTAAAGTTTCCTTTTATTTTTATATTCATTTCTCTTAAGGCTCTTCTTTTGAGAACCAGCTAATGCCACTCAATTTGTGAGAAATAATGTTCATTTCTATTTCCACAATGGGTTTCAAAATATGCTTGTTAGGGAACCAGTCTCAATGCGTTGTCATGTCATTTCATCTGTCATGTTTTGATTGTTACAGTTCTCTTTTAGAGCCATTTCATCTTTTATGTTTTGATTTTTACAGTCCTCTTTTAGAGTCCAATCTCTTCACTTAATTCTCATATTTTATAATTTTCTACAGTATGTTACTTTTGATAACATAACCCAATCAGTTTATCTCTATTCTGGTAAATAAATAATACTCTAAGCCCCTCACCCAACTTAATTTTTTCCCCATATTTAAAATGCAGGCTGGAAAGAAGCACATACACTTCCACGAATGTGACGTGTCGGACACTGACACTACTTGGATACTCTCGGACACGTGTTGGATACTCTTTTTTCTGTGTCCATAATTAAAAATAAAAATTATATTCAGACACATGTCCAACACTCATTTTGCAACGTTTTATCACTAAAAAATAAACATGAGATTAACACTTCTTGAACATTTGCACATGATTTCAAAGATTGAAAATTTGACATAAATATCTTATATCTTTAAAAAAAGTGTTACTATTAAGAATAACCCTATAAGAATCCTTATAGAAGTTTCATATAAACTTGAATGAAAAATGAAAAAGATATGTAAATGTATCTATAGATGATTTCGGATGATGAGGAAATGTTGCAATTATATTATGTTTTCTATAGTTGTCTGATTTTTACCTACTATTATCCAGTAGTTTAAAAATTCATGTAAGAGAGTTAGATATTAGATTTACTTAGTAATAGAAAGTAATTATTTAATTTTTTATATATTATCCACATACATAACTATATAATAAAATATATTCTTAGATAATATAATATCAAGATATAATTATTTGTGCCATGTCCAAACTGTGTCCAGGTCTTACTTTTTTGGAAGTTGCCAATTTGACATGTCTGTATTGTATCGTATCTATGTCCCGTGTCCGTGTCTATGCTTCATAGGCTGGAATTTTGAATTTATATCAAGATATTATGATATTGATTTTTCATCAATCCAATTTATGTTGATTTTTCATGCAGATTTTTTGTATTCCTATATGTTTACGGTATTGTTTCTTTATTATATGCTTGTTTTGACAATATTTTGTTATTAGCTTATACCTTTGTTTTAGTTCCAAAAAAAAAAAAAAAAAAGCTTATACCTTTGTCTGGGTTGTGTTATTATGCGAAGCTGGAATTAGCATTCAGCCAATTGTTTAATACATCTCTTAGCTTTGAAAGTTTCTTATTTTGTTTTGGCCATAAGTTAGTCAAAATTGCTTCATTCAACATTTGACTTGTACTTTATTTTCATGGTAGCCTTTGATTGTAGGAACTGATATAAATCATATGTTTGACTTGTATATTATCTTAATGATGGCTTTTAACTGTAGGAAGTGATGGGATTTTGTCTGAAGCAAGATGGCTTCTTGATATTGGTCTTCTGCCAAATTCAAATTCTGCAACTCGAGCGATTGGTTACAGACAGGTATATATATTTCAGTCTCTGTTTGCTAGTTATGGTTTTTCTTTACTGTTGTTTCTCATTTTTGTTCACAAAAGATGGTTATGCTAACTTTGTTTTCAGAACATCGACTACATTCCTTGTTGACTTGGTTGTAAATTGTGATTATAGTACTATAGTTCATATATTCTCTTTTAAGGATAAAAGTTTGTAATGAAGAAACTGGAAGTTAGATAAACCTGTGAAGTTTGTGAAGAAAGCAACCTAAATATTGGAATACTTGACATGGAACTTTTTCTTTGATGTCAAGTTGCCTCAACAAGAAAGATATGTCCAACATTATTACTTAAAACATAATATTAGGCCTGATTGGGCAGGAGAATGTTCTTAATGTACTGCATGTAAAGTATGGAGAAGCTTATTGATGGTACATCCTCAAGATAGAGGTTTACCTAGTAGTTAGCAAATGCAGGACATATTTGTCAGGTTTTATACTTGATAAGCAGAGTAAGTTCTGAGTCTGTCATGTTGTATAAACTTGTGCAGTTTTACCAGTTCTTTTAACTTGAAGAAATGAAACTTGGGGTAGTGGCCAACACTTGAATTTAATGGGGAAGAATTATCAAGAGCTAATGCCTATAATTTTCTAACCCTTTTGTGTGTGAGTTTACAAGAATGAGAAAGTATATTTGATTAAAACGATGAACATGAATAATTGCCAAATTGTAGATGCCACATCCTCTATTCAAGTATGTGTGAAAAAGTATCCACATACACATAAGCTCTTAGCCGACCCCATTTGATGGGACTTAAGGCTTAGTTTGGTTTGGTTATACACATAAGCTCTTCTTTTAAAATAAAACAAAATAAAAAAAAGCTCATCTTAAAAGTTCTGCAAAAGACCCTCGAGAATTTAAAGGAAATAATATATAGAGTCATGATTGGTAAGCTCTATCTAAGCCTCAAAATGGTTAATAGTACTGAAAGGAATCTGCCATGGATAATTCCTGTTTAAACAGCAATAAAACAGTATCTTAGAAAGAGAGGGCAATTCACATTATGCTTTAGTTATGTGGAAAGATGAATAGGTGAAAGAAAATTTCTGAGAAATTGCTATGCAGAACAGGTGCTCAGTTGAACGATTTTTTGTAGAATTTATTCATTAGATGGTTGTTGTGTTGTCTAAACTGTTGCAGAAACATAGTGTGGAATTTGTTAAAATGGGCAACCTAGTGCATGAAGCTCCCGTTAAAGCGAGGTCTACCGAGGACAAGATATACGCAGTCTTACCCTCATTTTAGGATAGGTTGTTTCCGTGATAACCACACCACCAGAATGCTAACGACAAGCCTTACTATTCGAGCTTTCTCTATCCAGTTTTAGAATTACGTTGAGTTTTTAATAGATATTGCCATCCTATTGATGAACTTATCAAGGATCGTCTCATTTTTATTCTCAACTTAAAACATTTCCATGTAAAAGATCAAAGAACAAAAGATAAGATTTCTATAAGCTATGAAACTTGCAATTTCATTTCTGGTATGGGTCACTGTCTTTTATTGGAACGGAAATAATTTATAATATATGCTGTTGTACCTAAATGGTGATGAGCCCGGCTTAATTTTTGTGTCTCTCAGGCCATGGAATATTTACTCGGTTGTAAACAAAGGGGTGGGAGTTCCTCTGAAGAATTTTATGCTTTTTTATGTGAATTTCAGAAAGCATCTAGGTAATGTGTTGCGTTGTCTTTTTTTAATAATTTTGTAATTACATTATTTGATTAATGTGTTTCTTTCCATGTTAGGATAAGGCTTAATCATGTTATTTATATAGTCCATCGAATTTTTCTGTTCATGCGAAATAATGCACAATGATTTAGCTTAGAAGAAAACTTCATTCGCTTAAACCCAAGCTAGTGAGCTTGAGACATGTTGAGGTTTGCTAACTATGATTGGAAGCTTCTTCTGGTTTAAAGAGATTGTAGGATATCCCTGTCAGATCATTTGTTCTGAAGGTAGTTGTATGTGTTACACAAACCCAACTTGCTCCTTCCCTAGGCTATGGAATTAGACTATTTGTTCTTTAGGAAAGTGTTACTTATACTAACTTTAGTTTTGGTATAAGAAATCCAATTTGATCTGAGTGTGTTTTGTCCCTTTAAAGATGTGATTTATAGATCTGTATTTTACTTTATTGGGAGGTCTTATATTAACGTATATGTCATGGGCCAAAAATTGTTGGAGTGCTAACTCTTTCGATCTGTTTGTAACCACATAGTTGATGCATACCTTTAAAATCTTCTCTGCTCTTGAACTTTTAGTGGCATATTATTTTTTGCTTCTCCAGAGTAGGATTAGCTTTCTATCAACAAAGGTACATCAGCCAATTTTTTGCATCTGCGTTAGTTTTCAATGTTTACTAAAGCGTATGTGGGGGTAAGTGGAAAATGCACTACATTCTCTATTGGCTCGCAGCCCAAAATGTTGATTTGTTATTTATTTTTTTGCGTGAGAGGAAAGAACTAAAGGCAATACACCTGTGCTTTGATATACCTATCAAATCATGCTTTCACTATCCGAGGGATGTTTTTGGGACATTACCAACCCAACATATATCTAATAGCTGTTTGCTAGATCTGATGATAGCCAAAATCACAAGTCACTCTTTTATAATAAAAAGGTTATGTACAGAACCAACCAATGCTTCAAGAGAGTGGGTTTCTCTTTTGCTATCATTACTATTAGATTACTACAAGTCCTAAAAGCTAAGTCATTAAAAAAGGGGCCCAACAATGCATATGCTCTCCAACACCCTCCCACATGTGCAATTCCGTTTTGCACATGGAAATGAAAATCCAAATTTTTAGAGGAACATAATACAAATGGGAAAACAAACGCAAACAGAGAATTTGAACTAAAGACCTGCCAAAACTCGAGCTTTGATACCATGTTAAATAACCACTAATCCCAAAAGCTTAAGCTGTTAGAAAAAAGGCCCAACAATGCATATCAAGCTCTCTAACAATTAAAAGAGGATTTAGGTCAATAATTAGTTGCACTTTGATTAGCTTGTGCCATTTACATTTGGTCTTCTATCTCTTATTCTAATACTATATATATGTTAAAAGTTTGCAATGGAAGTTTACTTAAACAGACATCTGATTTTTGTCCTTTCCATGGGTACTCTTAACACTTATTGACATTCTTGTTTTGATCCTCTATATTGAAATATACAAGTTTTATCAATTTACACGGGCTTGGGACTTCGTATTTTTTTCCCTAATATTATCCTTAATTTTTGAATATACAGATTTTGTGTTTCATAAACTATGCATGTACTGTATATTTTCATGACTTTTGATGCTATTCCCATTAAATTGTTTTTTTTTCTTTTTTTCTTTTTCTGACAAGCATTCTCCATTAAATTTAAATCTTGGAATTGTTAATCTATCATGCAGAAATTTTGCGAAAAGGCAATTGACGTGGTTTCGCAATGAGCGCATTTATCATTGGATTGATGCTTCTAAACCCATGGTATGCCATTTTTGTTTCTTTGCAAGTGCTATTTTACTCTAGTAACAATATCATTGTTCAAAGAAAGCCCTAGAAGTTAAACGCCATATTCTTAAATGAAAATACTTGGTTAATTCCCTCTTGACAATGATAACGATAATGAGTTGTTAGTGGAACCTATACTCAAAAGACTTACATACCCTTTATGCTAATCTCTGAATAGAATAAGTTTCGCAGGATGAGGTGCTAAACTTCATATATGATTCATATTACAACCAAAATGGGAGTTTGACTGTGCCTGAATCACTCAGTATGGAGAGAGAAATATCAAGCCGCCGAAAATCAGAACTGAAGGGCTACCGCACTAAAAATAGGTATAAATATGGGGTTGCATGCTTTTCTTATTCATCTGAAAAGGGCTAATTTTTTTTTGGATGTGTGTGAAGGCGCTTTATCAGCAAATATGATTGTTCCGGAGTTTTGGACTGGATAAGGAGAACCGAAGGTGAAAATGCTGCCAAATTAATGTCAATACACAGGTAGCCAGCTTGGCTTCAACCATCTGGAACCCCAAACATTATCTGGAAATTTCAAATTTTAGATTCTTGCTGAGGTTAGTTTTGAGTTGTTGCTTTATTATCATGTGATTGTTTTCTCATATCATATTTGAATTGAGTTTGTGGATTTTGTTATATTATGTTGTAAAACTTAATTTGCTGAGCATTCATCAACTTTGATTTTTGAAGCCTCACTGATAATTTATGGCTTACTGGAACGGTGATTTATGCAGGCTGCGGTTGTGGAGAATGTATTATGTATGTGTAAAACAGAAGTCTCCATGATATCTTATGATGTCACCGAGCTTGTTATGTTGTGGAAATAGTAAAGTTTCAGGATCACTAAACTGGACACTACAATTATTATTATTTATTATTTATTTTACTTGTATTTTTTAAAAAAAATCATTTATGAGTTTTGACAGTAAGAAGGTGAATATTATTTATTTATTTTTGGAGTTGTTCTCACCTCCCTTCAGGCCTGCACAGACTGATCAGGAGAACTGTGCGAGGCTTCTTCCACAAACTAGTGTCCAAGTTAGACAAATTGCAATAGTTATTTAATTTGTTAGAAATGATTATATATTAAATTTATATTATGTTTAATGACATACATGACAGTGACAAATCATAGACAATGTATAATGGTTATTCATACCTATTTTCTGAAAAAAGATACATTTTGTTTGGATTGTAGGGTGAGAAAAGAAAAGAAATGTTTGCGCTTTTTTACAAACATGTTTGAATGTCAGAAAATAAAACATGTGAGAAAGTGATGAATGATGTATATTTTTTTTCTTTGTATTTTAATGACCAATGTTGATATTATAATTTTTTTTTTAACCAATTAGTTTGTTTCTTATTAAATTTTATCACTTTTGGTGATAAATGTTATAGACAAAATAAGACTTAACATGTAACCATGTGATCATTTTATTCTAATTTTTCTTAAAAAATAAATACGTAGTATCAATTATTTTTGAAACATTGAACAATTTTTTTATTTGTGATATTATAATGAATAATTTTTTGTTGGAAAATGAGAACTGAAGAATGGAGTGTTTTTTTTTTTTTTTTTAACAAACTCAAGTTACTTGCAAAACTTAATTTTCCAAACAAACAGTTTTGAATTGATTTCCAAAATGTTATTTTCTGACTTTGAAAAGTTTTATAATAAGTTAATTGAAATGAAGTTTTGAAAACACAACCTTAATGAAATCATGTTTTTATTTTATTTTATATTTTAAATGCAACTATTTACTTTACATTTGGGAAATAAATTTAAAATTACTCATTTATAAAATTTTAATTAAAAAATATTTTAGTTCAAAATAAAAGATAAAAAAGTAAAAATATTTTCATCTTCTAGTAATTTTGTGACTCACTTTTATCACGGATTCTACACGCGATAGTTTTAAGAATAGTGAATAAAAAATATCAAAATATTTATAATTGTGGTACATTATTTTATATATTTCGGACTGTTTTTAATATTTTTATTTTTAAAATGAAACGAAATTAATAAAAAAGAAACTCGAAAAGGTAGGGGTACGTCTCGAAACTCGTAACCACTCTTTATCTTTTTGAGTAATGGTAAGAATCTTAATATAAATTTCATATTTATGAATTAGTTAATAAAAATATTAATAAAATATTTGAGTGCTTAGCATTTGCTTTTTTTGCCCTTTTCTTTGGGGGGCGTTGCGATGAGATGAGATGAGATGAGAATCTCAATAAATTGCAACTTGACGCCGTATGCTCTCTCGCGTCACAACACTCTCCTCAACCCTTTTTCATTTCATCTCCGAGCCTCATTTCTCTCTCTCTAGAAAGCAGTAACAATAATAATGTTGAGATCGATCCAATCCTCTCTGAGACGAAGCACAACAGGTGCCTCATCAACTCATCTCCTACGTCGTTTCTACTCATCGGACTCGGCTCCGGAGCGTAAGGTAGCCGTCTTGGGAGCTGCCGGCGGCATCGGGCAGCCGCTTGCGCTGCTGATGAAGCTGAACCCACTCGTCTCCAAGCTCTCCCTCTATGATATCGCCGCAACCCCCGGCGTCGCCGCCGATATCAGCCACATCAACACCAGATCTGAGGTTCTTTCTCTCTTCACTTTCAACTACGAGTTTATTTTCAATTCAATTGGTCTTCTCGTTTCTAGGTTTTTCAATTTTTGATCTGTTTTCCTTTGATTCAATTCTCAAATTTGTATAATTGTTTCTCAATTCCATACCTTGTTTATTTATATAAATATACTAGCAATATTATCGATTTCACACGCATAAGCTTTATAAATACTGATGTATCAGTTACTTTTTATATGTTGTGGTAGTGAGCGAGATCTATGTCCTGCTAAGATGTTTGGTGAGTCTTGACATTAATTGGTTGTGTGTAGTGAAGCGAGAGAGAGAAAGAAAGACCTACCTTTCTCAATTGTTGTTTTGTTTATGAAAGGGGTTAAGTGCGATTTGTTTGAGATTGTGATCCCTTAATTCCATTTGTGACTTTAATCCTATCATTTTATGCTTGATTTGGGAGATTTTGAGCCTGATTCCAAGATGTCTATTTGGGTTCCTGGTGGAGCAATTCTCATCAAATATGATAAACTTGTGTTTAGGTTATTGATCGATTTTTTGATAATTCAACTCATTAACACATCCATCTATTTGTTTCTTTGGTGTAGGTAAATGGGTACATGGGTGAGGATCAGCTAGGTAAGGCTTTGGAGGGATGTGATATTGTCATCATTCCGGCTGGTGTGCCAAGAAAACCTGGTATGAATCGCGATGATCTCTTTAACATTAATGCTGGCATTGTCAAATCACTGTGCACTGCGATTGCCAAGTATTGCCCTCATGTGAGCTCCTCCTTTTGTACAAACATTTTAGTCTCTGATTTGAAGTTTATTTATCTCTGGCTAATTTGCAATGTTGATTATGTTATATGATTGTTTTTGTGATTTGGGATCTGGATTCATGTTATCAGGCACTTGTTAATATGATAAGCAACCCTGTGAATTCAACTGTACCAATTGCTGCTGAGGTCTTTAAGAAAGCGGGGACGTATGATGAGAAGAAGCTGTTTGGTGTAACAATGCTTGATGTGGTTAGGGCCAAGACTTTCTATGCTGAGAAGGCCAAAGTCCCAGTTGAGGGTGTGCTTCATTATTGACTTAGAAGACACTTTTTGTTAATTAAATAATGGACAAGAATACGGTTTTCCTCATGGAATGTCAACTTCATTGACTCAAATATTTGATTTCTTTGTCCAGGGGTTAATGTGCCAGTTGTTGGAGGCCATGCGGGCATAACCATTCTTCCATTGTTTTCACAAGTATGACCTTCTATGTCAGTTTTTTATTTTATTTATTTATTTTTTGAAATAGATACATTACATGCCTGTCCTAGTCTTTAGAAGCTGCTATGTCAGACGCTTTCCACTCTGTATTTATTTTGTGCTTATTTGTGTGCTTGATTGCTGATAGGCCACACCGCAAGCCAATAATTTGTCTTATGAAGATATTGAGGCTCTCACAAAGAGAACACAAGATGGAGGGACAGAAGTGGTTGTAGCTAAGGCTGGAATGGGTTCAGCTACACTCTCAATGGCGTAAGTTTGGGCTGATACTTGCACTTCTGCTTTAGGGTTCTTAGATATGCTGGAATCTTTTATGGTTGGTGTTAGGATTTCAGAGTAATATTTTGGCAGTTGATATGATGTGATTTTGACGGCCTTTGCCCAGATTTTAAACATTTTGAATAGAGCTTGTGAAATATTCTACAATGGTTGATTGGAAGGTTAAAGATTAGTTTCATGCTCCTGAATGCATTTCCATTTTACTTGCATATGTTTGAGATTGGAACCACTTGAATTAGCACTATCCTTCATGCATATTGGTGAATGGTGGTGGTTTAGACTAATGGTCAGCTAATTTTTTTACATGGGATGCTATGTGCAGTATTGGTTTTAAATGGCTGAGAGACATACTATTCTTTTCTTAATTGTCATAAATTGCTGAAAAGTTTTGGAAAGCTCTCTTTGGTTTAACTTTAAATTTTTCTTCTGGGTTTTCTACACTTAATGTAGATGTTTGGTGTCTGCATGTATATGGTGTGAAACTTATGCATGTATTTCCATGTTTTATTTAGTCTATTGTTTTACTGCTATGTGGTTTAATGTGATTGGGGTTAATAGTTGTGTTTCTCTCTTCCATAATCAAGAGGATATCCTGTTCTATACTTGAATTCAGTTATACTGGGTTTTTCAACAACATATCAATGATATTGCATGCAAATTTTCTGTAATCTTTTTTTTTTTCGTGGTATACATTTTGTTGTTGGCTTATCAGTCCTCTCTCTCTCTCTCTCTCAATGGAGATTAGAAGATCTAGAATTCAATGTGATCTCTTACTATTGTACTTTCTGCAGCTATGCTGGAGCTATTTTTGCCGATGCTTGCTTGAAGGGTCTTAATGGGGTTCCAGATGTTGTAGAGTGTTCATTTGTGCAGTCATGCATCACTGAACTGCCTTTCTTTGCTTCTAAGGTGATAAATCTCAACTGAACTGTGATATTATTTATTTGGATTGCTAACTTCTCTATCTATGCTTGAAGTAACTGACTTGTAACATTTTTTGCCTTTTTTAATTGATTGTTTACTATGATCACTTCATAATCAGCGACCCTCTAATCTTTTGATTGATGCTATGGTAATTGTGGGTGAATATTTTCCATTCTCAGTCTCCATCTGTCTCTTAGGAAAAGCTGTACTCTTTCTCTCTCTCTCTCTCTCTCACTCATTCATTTGAGATGCATGATACCTTCAGAAAATGTGTATTATGAATTATGGATGGAGGACTTTACAGATGCAGCCACAAACCCCCGATATACAGTCAGCAATGCTGGCTAATCTGTAGGTGACATGGTGAGGTGAAACCTTATGGTCACAATTTATTCAGCAATCTTCATTTTGACTGAATTTCCAAGAGTTTCTGGCTGACTGTATGCTGTGTTGAAGTTTGAGGGTGCTTGTATAGATTGTAAGGACATTCAGGAAGACTATTTAGACACTTAATATATTAGAATGTTGTTGGTTTATATAGACGGCAAAGACATCCAGGAACACTGAGACTGTAGACAATAAGATCTTGGAATGTGGTTTGAGATGATTTTCCCAACTGCAACAGAAAATCTTTTGATAGCCGGTTAGGTTTGAGGCCCAAAGGAACGGTACTTGCGTTTGGATGCATAGAACGACTCATTGAGTGTGTAATGATAATTTGTGTTGGATAGGCTGAGTACATGTTAGTAAAGGCATAAGATTACCCTTTCCCTTTGATGTGCAACACCAGTTTGAACGCCAACCCAACATCCATATTTTGATTTGTTCTAGAATGTGCTGAGCATCTATACGATACGAGGTTGCTACTTCTAGAGAACATATCAGTTTTATTCTTATTTCACACTATATGATGCATTTATGCCAAGATATGATCCATGGTTTATGTTTTCTGCCTTTGTAATTTGACTTTACTATTGTTACATGGTTCTGTTATCTTGCTTTAGCTTTGCTTAAACAAACAAGCATTTATTCTGTCACTGTCAGCATTTTTGGGAAGTCTTGAATTGTTCCCCATTATCCTGGGGTTGTAACTGAATATTGTGTTTCACTGTGTGTTTTTTAATTGGGTTTCACACTTGATTTTAGTCATGGAACAAATATATGCTTTAGCTTGCTTAAACAAACATGCATTTATTCTGTCACTGTCTGCATTTTTGGGAAGTCTTGAATAGTTCCCCATTATCCTGGGGTTGTAACTGAATATTGTGTTTCGCTGTGTTTTTTAATTGGGTTTCACACTTGATTTAGTCATGGAACAAATATACTTTGGTGTGTGTTTTCTTTTTGTGGCCTTGGAAATGTTCTCAAAGTGGCTGCTATATACATTCCTGCAGGTGAGGCTTGGGAAGAATGGTGTGGAGGAAGTTTTGGACTTGGGCCCACTTTCAGACTATGAAAAACAAGGATTGGAAAGCCTCAAACCCGAGCTCAAATCCTCTATTGAGAAGGGAATCAAGTTTGTCACCGAGAGTTGATTGAATATTTGGTGGTGGGATGTCGATCCCCTTATTGAGAACTCATCAATTTTTGATCTTTGTTTGCCATTGTTGTACCCTTTTGTGTAGTTAGTTGCTGCCAGTACGTTTCCTTCTTCCCGGAAGAGTAGGCTTAGCTTAAAATAAAAATCATTTTACAAATAATATCCATTGAAATGTGATGGAACAAAAACATTACAAGCCATTTGGCTTGAGTTTTATGTTATTTTATTACAAAAATCACATAACGACTATCACCATTGCTTTAACCAAAGTGGTGTCATGCAGCTACGGTATTTGACAGCATGCTTCCATCAAAACCAGATGTTGGACTCTTGAGCCCAGCAGGATGTTTGGAATCAAACTTACCACGTTTTGTGGTTGTCATCTTCATCTTGATCTTGTGCATTCCCTTTAATTGTACTTGGGTTTCATTACAGATACAGATGACATTACAACACTATATGCCTGCCACTAAACAAAATGGCATATGCACGCAAGTTACACAGATTTTTGCGACCTCAAAATGAAAAAAGATTCTTGGAAGACAGAAGTGTGATGAAGATGAAATTTTTAGTCAGGGTTGAAGAACATATTGAATATCCTCACTCATATCCAACAGTGTAATAGTGATCAAGGCAGGTGTTAGGCTGTTTAAATCCTTGACTCTGATACTTCTTGAGCATTTCATCACAACGGCAATCCTTCATCCTATAAAACGAAGGACGGAAACTCCTATTTGGTTTAGGAAACTAGAAAGACTGCGATCACACATTGCTGAATGTCAATGGCACCTGAAGTTAGCAGAAAACTGTAGGAAACTAAAGTGATTCTTACTCAACGCTTACCATAATTTACTAATATATGGAATCATATAATGAGGTAAGCATGCAATACAAATGAAACAAATCTACAAACAGTATGAACAAACTTCATCATCCTCCAGAGCAACGCTAATATATGTCCAAACTGTTCCACTACTGGTCCCCCTTTGAGTTAAAAAGGGGAGATGACACAATGGCATAAAAAAAAAATAAAAAAAAAAAACCCTAGAAAAGCAGTCCTTGACAATTTACACTTGCTACACAAAACGATGTCTCTATTACCACCACCACCATATCCAATCATTCTCATACATGTTCTTTTTGACAAAAGAAACCACCTTTAAACCTTAGACCAAGAAGTTAAAGTGATGATGGTAAGAATTATGGGTTCCAAGTCATACACCTTTAGCCACCTGGTAAAGGCGCATCTTCAAGTTCAACAGTTCCCCCACGCCACCATGTGAGTAAGCAGAATGAGCTTCCTTCAAAAACTCAAGGTCGGTGTCAACATGGATCAAGATCCGGTTGAGATATGTTCTGCCAAATTAAATATAAAAAATTATCAACATGTCTCAGCTAAAAATATGAGAAATTGGAAAAATCAGAATAAAGATATAAATCATGCAAGTCAATATCCACAAACTGAAAAAACAATCCAAACATTAGTGTGTGTCCTCATCACACCAGCAGATTCTATTTTATTCTGGTATGTCACACCAACAGGGTTGTTAAAATGAATATCTAGGGGTCAATCTCTGTATCATATGTTTCTTAGGTTTATGCTATTTAGAAGTGTTTCATGATATATTCATGATGCAACAAGCAGGCGATTTCATTATCTAGCAGTTGCAAAAACTTCCGATTTAGAAGATAACCTTTATTACAGACCCGGTGCTTGACAGCAGAGGAATAACCATAACTTCATGGTTATCTCTGTGTATAAAGGAGGCCTTGCTGACAAGCTGCTATGATTTCTTTAGCAGTTTTGCCAAACGGGTTGATGGAGTGACCTTGTGAACTGCAAAGGGAATAAAAACTTACAAATATAAGGATGGCAGCCACAACGAGTAGTAGGAACAGAAAGAGGGGGCTTAACCCACGAAGTGACACCTAATCGGTGGAGTAAAACAAGGTTTTAGGGGCTAAACTATGATTATCCACGAGGTTAAACACAACAGCATTGCATCCACATCTGATTTTTCTTTGTCCACCTATTCTCTCTATGCCTGAACAAATGTTGATAAATTTGCACAACAATTATTATCAACAAATTACATAAAGTTGAATCTCATACACTGACAAGCGGATTTCCATGCACAAAAAAAATAGGAATTTAATTTTTTTTTTTAAAAATATTCTGCCTATTGCAAAGAAACTCCAAAGTCCCTGACCAAGAAGAAATCTTACTAGTTCGACAGAGAACTAAAAACATGTAACATGTCCAGCATGGAAAGACTCCTTATCCTTAGATAACCCTACATAAACTATGGAATGACTTCCTACAATTATTGTTTACAACATTACACTGAACTAAGCTCAAACATCCATTTCTCTAAAAAACATAATGCTGTCTACGGGATGTGATGCTCTTTGCATAAGCCTAGGTCAACTTTAGTTAAAACACAAATCAAGCGACAATTAAAAATAAAATTTTGACACGGTTTCAGACTCTTAGATCCACACTTAAGAATACCATGCCCCACACCCCACCGGCGCATGCAGGGGGCATAAACACCAGATTTTTATTCTCAACCTGAGAAACTGTTAATTGAATAAAAATTTACTGGCTTCTAACATTTGCTACCTCTTTATACCACTCACTTCAGAAAAAGTCAGACTAAGTGGTATGATTCAAATCTTGGCCATGACAAAAACAACAGTGCATCATGTTACACATACCATTACAACCCAAAGTTCTACTAAACTATCTACAAGCCAATAATCTTTGTGCTACATGATATTTACAGATCATCCTGCCATCCATACTGGTGCAATCATAACATATGGTGTATAATCCACACATTCGAGACTTTGAAAGTCAATATCAGCACAAATCATATCAGAAAAGAATTCAAAACAATGCCTTCTACCTTAATTGAATCCACTCAAGTCCTAGGTGAATGCCCTGCATCTGATCCAGAAGCAGAGGTACTATCGCTATCAGAATCTGCAAGAAGAGTATCACATTAAATCAATAAATGTATTTGCTTCAATGGCAGTTTTACAGTGGAAAAACTTCTAAAAATATCATACCACTTGAAGAAGAACCAGAGTCGCTGCTAGAACTGCTTGAACTACTTGACCTACTAACGTTATCCCCTTTCCTTTCTCCTTGAGCAGGAGAGGCAGTAGCAGCATTCTGTTCACCTGCATAAAAACACCAACAAATGAGTGCAAAATGAATAGGCTGCAATATGAAAACAAAAATGTTAAATGTCACTGATCTTCATGTTTTCCAAACTCACCTATTTTAGATTCTTTTGGTGCCTGCACACTGGCTGGAGCTGGGTTCTGCAATGACATTAAGATGAACAATTCATTAGCCTACTGTACTTCCATTTAGAAAGATTGAAAGTTGCAATTCAAAACCTTACCATTCCTGGGACACCAGTTGCAGTTTCTGCTCTTGCTTGAAGAGCAATTTCAGCTTTCCTTTTGATCTTACTCAAACTCTTCTTGTAATTGGTCACAAACCTATCAAGCTCCCAAAGTGTTTCTGCATCAACACTGTCAATGTCCACTTCAATCTCATCATCATGTTGAGAAAGTGCTGAATTCCTCTTCTTAATGATCTGGACTATGTTATCCAGTTTTTCTGTGGGTAAACTCTGAAGGTTTGTGCTGAGCCTCTGCTTCTCCTCATAAGTCATGTCCCTTTTGTGAAGGTCTTTAGCTTTAGGCTTTTTTGGAACCGGAGTCCTGGCCACTGGAGCATGGGGTTTCAGTTTTCCTGTCACGGATTCTGCTCTCTCCAAACTCCTCACATCAGGAATCTGTAGTGGTGGTGGAGGAGGGTGAACCTTTCTCGAAGTAGGAGTAGGCAAACCCACATCATGAACCAGTTCATACCTCCAATCAAGGTTATACTCGGATTCTATAGCTGCCCACTTCTCTTCGAAAATATTCGACAACTCCTCTGCCATAAGGTGAACATCCTGCCCCTTTGGATTATATGTCATGGCATTACGGAATGTAAGTCTCACATCCTCGGCGAATTCTCTTGGAGACTTGTACCAGTTTTTTGATAGCCTACTCTTAACTGTGCCCAAATCCATTGGGTGGTTAATTATAATATGATAGTCATGGAGCCCAAGTGCCTTGGCATCGACTGGCGTATTAAACACCCAACCATGCTTGTGCTTCATCAACCTTGCGAGCAAATTGTTACAACTCTTCAATGCTTGACTGGTATATTTATCCATACCAAACCCATATCCCATTTCGCGGCCATGTTTCTTCCCACCATTGGATTTCAACTTCTTGTTGCTTTCTGCAGGCGGTAACCTATCCTTTCCAAGCAAAAACTCCGAGTTTCGATAATATTGATTAGCCTTCGGAGTTCTCTTCTCTTTCTCAATAAATTCACCAACCCCATGATTGTTCTCCATCACCGAAACACTTAGTTGCTGAAAAGGCCTCGAATCATGATGACCCACTGAACCCACCTCTGAATTCACTCTCGCTAAAACCCTCCCATCATTGCCTGAGTACTGTGAATGACTATAACCACCACCACCACCACCAACAACAACAGCAAGAGAATACCCAGAAAGCTGAACCTCCTTAGCTTCAAGCTCCTTCACTAGACCCCTCACCTGATCAAGCTCATTCACTAGCTTCCTCTTGAGCGTACCAATCTCATTCTTCTCCCTCGCTGCTTCCAAATCAATCCTAACTCGATTCTCGACTTTCGTAATAATCGGCTTCACAGCCCCATTTCCATTGGGCGGTTCGAAGCCATTCGGAGCAGTAACCTGGGATGGCCTATTTTGGCTAGACGAAACGTCAGAAACCACATCTAATCTCGACAGAGTCAGCTGCTGTTGACACGAATTCGCATCCTCTGTAGCTAACGTTTGAGAAGACTGCTGAGGAACGGCGTCGTTATTGTCGGCGGTGGCGACGGTGTTGGCGTTATTGCCGTTGTCGGTGGCGGGATTGGTATTCGCGGTGGCGGTGGCGGTGGCGGTGGTGGTTTTGAGGCCTTTGTTGTGAAACTTTCTCTTGTAGACCTTGTTACTATCTACCCATCTAAGCCTCTCTCTCGATTCACCGGCACCGAAAGTCCCTGAAGCCATACATGAAACAATCCCCAAAAAACCCTAACTCCTCGATCTCGCTCAAAACCCTAGATTCTTTTTCATCGACCATGCAAATCGAGTTGGTTCAAAGCCTAGGGCTCGACCAACAGCGACTCATGAAATCGGAAATCGAAAACCCTAATTTTCAATCCGATAAAGTGATTTACAAAAAAATCACAGCGAATTGAACAGAACTAGGGCTTTAGGTGCAGCAAGGGGCTGATAAACAAGACGAGCCAAGAACAAGATGTTTACCAGATTGATCGATCTGTGTACAAATCGAGATCCAGATAAATGAAAATTAGGGTTTCGATCAGTCGGAAGAGAAAGAGAAACCCTAGAAGCCGATACAGAAGGGTGCTCGATCCGAACTCTGCTCACTCTCTCTCCTCTCGCTTTCTCTCTCTAAAACTCTCTGTCGCAGTTTCTCACTCTAACACAGAGAGAGAGAGTCTGAGTTCTGATCACACGCGCCTCTTGACGAATGATCTAAAGGCGGTTGACAGAGTTGTGGGACCCACCAGCCGTGTGAGCTAATCTGACGTCAGCAGTGAAACGTCCTATGACTTTGTTGATGTTGTGCAAGCGCTGTACCTGCGCGTGGAATTGTCAGAAAGAGTTTGAGTTTAATACTCAAGGGCCTGTTTGGCACCGCCTTAAAAACGAAGCCCAAAACGGCATACGCGGTCCGCTTGGCCCGGCTATAAGTGAAAATTCCGGCTTTTCTTGGACTTTTTGTTTTCACTTATACAAATGTATCACCATAAATAATAATAATAATAAATTACACTATTTATTTATTTATTTATTTATTTTTGCATTCAGAGAAAATAAAATAAATTCTATAAATTTAACATAATTAAATTAGATTCTTTGAAGATTTTTATTCACATAACAGTTTTTTTTTTTATTCTTCATTTAAATTGATAAAGTGTATTTTTATACAATCTGCATTAAGAGCATCCTCGTCAAGCTCTTTAAAATCATGTTTTAGCTAAAAAATTTAAAAATCAACTCCGTCAAATTCGCTTGTAATTCGTCAAAATTTACGATGATTATAGTAACTTGTTATAACAAGCGAGACACTGTTCATCGCTACTTGTGCGTTACCGAATGTTCGCTCGGAAGTCCGGCCGGTCAACCGGTCAATGGCAATTTTTTTTTTAAAAACTTTTTTTAAGAATTGTTTGACTGGTAACTTATCAATTTAATAAAAAAAGTAAACTAACAAAGACAACAAGAAAATAATATTTAATAAGAATAAGTTAGAATAAAGAATTTGATCCACTAGGTGCTAAAAAATAACTAACTAAAGTAATGAAATAATTTTAATTTGACTAAAAATTTGAATTGCCCCTTTAACCTTACTATAAGAAATAAAAGTTAGTATAAATATGTCACAACTATGTGACTTACTGTAATTTTTTTTTTAAACTTTAAAAAATTTGAATGTAATTTATCAAAAAGAAAAAGGTTACTATTAAACCAAAAATGATAAATAAAATAGCTTCATAGATAGAAAAATGTTAGGGATCCTAAATATTTTATCAAATATTCCATCAAATATCTAACATTTGATAAAATATTTAAAATCACTAACATTATGCTCATAGATAATCGTCTAACACTATATGAAGCCATTGTCCATGTTGAGCACCCTATTATTGAAGTTAATATATATATATATATATATATATATATTGACATAGGTGGGCCCATAGGGGCTTTTGACACACCACTTAAAGCCCAATGCATGATTCAAATACATAAGCCCAACATCCTTGAAACCCAACGTTATACCAAGAACCAATGACATCTAGACACTTGTCAAGAGAGGAACCAGCCACATAAGCAGACAAAGATCTTACATAGTTATTGCACCACACATCAACCATTAATGAGGTTCCCTGCAACATTTATTACGATAACCCCTTCACGTCGGAACAGAACAGCCTTACCATGAACAAGGCAAGCTAGAACATAGACTTTCGGCCAACATGACAGGTCGGAGTAGGCAAAGAAATGATGAACAAAGGATATAAGCAGGTTTTTAAGACAAAGAGAAAGTTACCATCCTATCTCTATATTCTGTGGATCTCTCTTCTCTAACTTGCTCGTCGGAGGGTTCGCTAGGGGACTCCCGTTCCCCGTTGGACTCTTGTGCAGGTTTCTCAGTGGGCCCAGCGATCGGACAACAGTGTGGGAGGCGTGGATCAGCCTGTTCTGTTCCTCAAGAACCAATTAGTATCATCAGTTGGCGCCGTCTGTGGGAATCTTTCACTCCGTGTGACAATTGTGCTCATTGTTGCTAGAGACCCATTCCCGATAATCCATACCTGCCACCCATCAAGGTGGATGGTCACAACTAGATCCATGGCCTCTCAACACAACGTTGCCGACCCCCGAACCGACCCTCCTAACCCGAACAACCCACCCCAGTACTTCACAGAACTCACTAACAGCATCAACTGCCTAGCCGAACAAAACCAAGCCTTGATCAATGCTTTGCTTCAACGAGACCTCTCTATGCCTCCTCCGCCACCATAAGATATCCCACCTAATCGAGAACGAACCTCGAGTCATCCTTTCCAACAAGCCTACCCCTCCAACTTGGAGGGCTCGCGACCCCCTCCCCAGGACATGAACCGGCCACCTTGGGGTCCACATCCGCCAGCCCAAGCACCTGCTCCCGAGGGAGAGGCCAGTAGTGTTCAGCCTCCATTCCATTCTGGTGGTGACAACGTGCCTATCTGGGATGCAGAACTCCGAGCCATGAAACTCCTGTCGAAAAATCATACACATATAATATAATCATATATGTATGGATATACAGCGGAATAAAATTTATACTAACCTCCTCCAGCCATTGTTGATCAAGTTGTGTGATGTCTATATTTCTTCTAAACCTCTCAATATTATATCACTCACTTCACACTTTATGAATAAGTGTCTTCTAACCTATGCAGAACTTGAGTGCCTCATTGATGGAAAACCACAGGCCTATTTATAATTGCTAGGTCATGGACCCTTATCAGATAGATACATTATCAAATAAACCTTCTTAGTTTCCTTCCATCAAGGAAACTTAATTTGTGGAAATTGATAGGCCTTAGCCAAACCACCATTTAGAGTTCTTGATATTTTAGGCAACTTCAATAATTATCACCCATAATTATCAAAAGATATATATATATATATATATATATATAAGGATAAATATATAAATAATAAATAATATATATAATTTACAAATATTAATATGTATGTAGGCCACATTAAGTCTCATCTTAGGAGACGCAGCTTACAACTCCAGCTTCAAGGAGTTATGCAAAACATGCAGAATAAACCCTCCATAACAGCCAATACACCGTTCGTCGCCTCCATCAGGGACAAACCCCTACCTCCTAAGTTCAAAATGCCCTCGATCGACTCTTTCAACAGCATAACAGACCCAGTCGACCACTTGGAGACTTACAGGACCCTGATGGTTCTCCATGCATTCCCTGATGAGATCATGTGTCGGGCTTGCCCCGTAATGCTTAAGGGGTCGGCCCGACTGTGGTTTAGTCAGTTACCGACGGACTCCGTCTTTACTTTCCAGCACCTAAGTGACTTCTTTCTTAGCCACTTCATTGGTGCCCAGCGCCAGCGGTGTCTGGCGACCCAGCTCCTCAACATCCGTTAGACGGAGGGGGAGTCGCTACGTAGCTTCGTCACCCGTTTCAATACCGAAGCCTTACAGGTGGCGGAAAACGGTGACAATGTCATTCTCACGGCTTTCATAGTCGGTTTACGATCATCCGATTTCCTTTTCTCCCTCTTCAAAAACCCTCCAACCTCCATAGCAACCCTCATTTCCAAAGCCTAAAAATACATGAATGCCGAAGATTCTCTGGCCGCCCGCCAAGACTTCACGACCAAAAACCCAAACCTTAGAGAGAAGAGAAAAGAATTTGAAACCAGAACTACCCAATACACGCAGCAAACACCTCAGTATACCGACCGAACTGCTCGAGCTGACCGAGCGACACCTACCCGATCGCCCGGTCGGTTCGAACGGTACACACCCTTCAACTCCCCCATGGAACAAGTCTTAAACCAGATTCAACAAGATTACAACTTGAAATGGCCACAACCATTGTAGTCTCTTTCCAACCGGTGAGACCAATCCAAACACTACTGTTTCCATCAGGACCACGACCACAATATTGAGGAGTGTGCTAACCTTAAGGACCAGGTAGAGAGTTTGATTCGCTAGGGGCACCTCAATCGATTCACGGCAGCCCGTCCCCAACAACGGCCAAGGACCGAACCTACCAAGGGCAATCGCCGACATACCCCTCCCCGACAACCCGCACAACCAAACCAAGGCAACGATCGGCCCCTACCATAACCCTGAGTGCAAGGCGACCCTGCCTCCTTGGTTGGAGAGATCTAAGTAATTGCTGGCGGGCTGGCATGCGGACGACCATCCCGTTCGGCCCAACGAGCAAAACTTAGAAAAATCAAGAAGGGCTCCGACAAAGAAGTCGCGACATTGGATTGCCCTTTCAAACACCCCAAATAGTGGATGGAACCCATCACCTTTACGGAGGCTGATTGTACAGGCATCCGTTACCATCATGACAATCCCCACGTCATCTTAGCTCTCTTGTCTAATTATGAAGTCAGACGAGTGCTTGTCGACAACGGCAACTCTTTAGATATCATCTTCCTGAACGCCTATCGGCAGCTTAAGGTCGGGGAGGAAAGATTGTCCTCTTTCCAAACCCCACTGGTTGACTTTACGGGGGATCGGGTGACCTCTATAGGCTCCATCGATCTTCCCATCATCATCGGAGAGTATCCACAGCAGACCACCAAGTTACTTACTTTCCTCGTCGTCGACTGTCCCTCTGCTTATAACATCATCCTCGGCCGCACAACCTTTAACACTTTTCAAGCTGTCATATCCACATACCATCTGGCCATGAAATTTCCTACCGACCTTGGGGTCGGCACCGTAAGGGGAGAGCAGACTGTGGCCAGAGAATGCTACGTTGCTTCACTCAAAAAGGTCAAGCTGAAGGAGGCTATGATCATCGAAGGACTCGACGTCAAAGACGAAGATGAGTTAGTCAGAGGGGAACCAGTGGAAGAACTTGTTGAAGTTCCCATCGACCCCACCAACCCAACAAAAACAGCCAAGATTGGCAGCCAACTATCCTCCCAAGCCAAGGACGACCTTATAGCCCTCCTAACTGAGCACAATGATGTGTTTGCGTGGACCCATTCCGACATGCCGGGAATCGATCCCTCCTTCATCACTCATCGTCTCAGCATCAAGTCCCATTTTCGACCATTTCGCCAGAAGCAGTGTGTCTTTCACCCGGAACGTAATGCCCTTATTGTTTCTAAGGTAGACAAACTACTGGAGACACGGTTTGTCAAGAACGTAGACTACCCCAGATAGTTGTCAAATGTGGTCCT